TAGGGCGGCTAGGTGGATTACTCAGTCCATTTCCCATGCCCATGTTCATACCGTTGAAGTTGTTGTTCATGGGGTTAGGCATGCCATTACCCATACCGGCATTGAAGCCGTTGGACATCCCGCTGCTGCGGAAGCTCTGGTCGAGAGGGAAATGAGTGGGCTCGTTCAAGAAGCCATTGCGACGATAGCCTGACTGAGCGGGTTGTGGACGGGCCTGAGGCTGGGGCTGAGGCTGCACCTGGGGCTGGTATGAGTTGCCGAAGCTGTTGTTGCTGGTATAGGCTGGGCGAGCAGGCTCATTGCCCCAACCGTAGTTGCTCCGAGTGGAAGCATTGAATTTGTTCTGCAAGCTGGTGAGAGTCTGCTCAGTGACATCACCCGGGTAGCTATAATCAGCCTCTGACGATTGGCTCAGGTGCTCCATGGTCGACCGGGCCACATGATGGCTATGCATTTCCTGGTTGACGCGGTTGACTTCGTTGCGGGCCTCTTGTAGTTCTAGCTTAAGCTTTTGTAGCTCGCAAGCCTCGACGAGGATGATCGAGCCGTCCAACTCCGTCGATGGGGTAGATGCGAAGTCGTCGGTGGCCGGTGTGATGGGGATCGATCCGTTGGAGGAGCTATACGGGTCGTGCGGAGGGGAGCGTCCATTCAGGCGCTGCAAGAGCGAGTCCATGACGGCTGACTCCTCGTGAGCTCCCATCTTGGGCTTCTGGGTAGGTCAGCTTGGTCTATGTAAGAGATGGCGACGGTGAGACTGCGGCAAATGCTGGATGGTACTGACCTTATAGCCGTCGAATGAGTCGTGCTGCTGTAGCATTGGCGCTTGATTGCCCAGGGTAGAAGAACCGAGTGGTCGCTTCATGCCCTGTGTATTGCAAGTCAACGATGAGCCAAACGCACGTTGGAAGGCATATGGGTATTGGTGCAGGCTCATGCTGCCTACCGCCTGACCCAGGACCTCTGGCGAGGTGTCAATCCTGAGATCGCCGGCCTTGGAGAATCGGTTGGGGCCCTTGCGGGGTGTGGGGGACCCGTCGGAAGTTATGTTGAAGCTCATAGTAGCAGAGCTTGGAAGAGTGGGTAGATGACTTAGATCCGAGAGGCTACCGACGTGTCCAGGCTATATGGTGAAGAGTGCGGTTCTGAAGGCGGCTGGAAACAAATCTGGGGTTATTGGGCAAATGGGCAGATAATATGCAGAACGGAGGCTCGGTGCAGCTCGTTTGGCGACGTAAATGGCCAATGTAGATGCAGAAGCGACGAGGAAACAGCTCAAATGTACATAAATCAGTAGGTCGCGGAGGGCGTTGTCGCAAGGAAAGGACGACAGTCGTGGGAAGAAGGAAGAGATCGAGGAGAGGGTGAGTAAAGAAAGCGGGAGAAGCGGGGTGATGACAATAGAAGCTTCCGAAAGAGACGAGGTGAGCGCGAGTAGGTGCCCAGGTGGAAGGCGCGTCGCGTCGGGACGCGTCGCACTCGTCTTCACCTCAGCAAACGGAAAGGTTATTGTAGATAGAGGAATCAATGATACAGTTTTCAAGATCGGTCCGCTCTACATTTCCACCCGTTGCATTCATGTCAAAGCTGGTATAGCCTTACTCCCACACTGAAAGTTGATGAGACATAGTGAGCCTTTAATATCCGCAGTTACCTACCACCTCTTCGAGCTTGGGCCTGCGCATTGCTTACCCACTTTCTATGACACTGCTGGGAGTGACCTTCCAGTCAGAGTCAAAGAAACCCATCGCTAAGACACCCTCAATACCCTTCCATTTTGCGCTCTCACCAAAGACAACGAAATCGGGTTGACCGACACCTGCCAGCAGAGGAACGATACGGGATGCCTGTCGCAACCCCTCGTCATCAGCACCCCACAATACGAGCTCGAGACGCTCGTCTGGTAGTGGTCGCAAGAACGCCGCACCTCTAGCTTCCTCCTTGTATGTTTGGTCTTGCCCCCGGTAGTCGCGGATGGTAATTCCAAAGTCGCCAAACTGAATCGGGAAGTTGCTTTCACTTTCTTTGAGACTGGCGCCAACAGCCAGAGTGATAACATTGTTGGTGTATTTGGAAATTGCAGAGTCTGCTGTGTAAGAGACGGTGTTGGCGTCTGCTTGGAAGTACTGGTGTAGATTGCGTGAAGTCTGCAGTGCAATGTACGACGAATTGCTAGAGCCTGGGTGCCTGATAGTGAACGGCCCACGGGTGCGAAGAATAGCAGTCATGGAGCCCAGTTGTCGGCCACTCCTTTCAGGCTGCGCGGAATCTGCAGTACGTGAGCCGATGTTCCAGCCTTCGTCCGTCTTGTGAACACGGATAAAAGAGTCCGTGGTCGCTGCTGCCTCTGCCAGGCTCAATTCGTGCCCATCGAGAGTCACAGACCCATCCCAAATGGCAGTATTGAACTCAAGCTCTTTTACATTGGAGGTCTTGATGATGTGTCCCCGAACACCGACCTTGCCATAGCGTCCTGGGTCTTCTAGCTTTTTGACCTGAATACCGTTCTTACTCCCCATGTCTCCAGGGTCGCCGACCATGATAAGAAAATGCTCCATTTTCCGGGGTAAAACATCTGTGTTCATAGCTTGGGTGTAGTAGAAGTCTACCAATGCTGGTGTTGTCATGACCCCGTCAAACCAGTGATTTGCCCCTGCTACTTCGTTGTAACTAGCTTTGGCTCCTGTAACCCCCGAACTGACTCCTGTACGATACAGCTGCTCCGCAAGTAGGCGGCCGTTGTAAGCCGGAACGTTGTCGTCAATCTCACCGTGCTGCTGTTGAACAGGAATTCCATGCGCGTTAGGCATGAGCATTTCATGTCGATAATTGTTTAGTGAGGCACTGATGACCGCTGTACGTCCTGGATCTGCAGGCTGCCACAGATGGTATGGCACGTACACCTGAATACTGGCGTAGCCCGAAACTGGTGCTGCAGCGAGTACTTTATCTGGTCGATGAGTCAGGGCATACCAAGTACCCTGCCCACCGTTGGAGTGCCCCGAGACTATCCAGCGGTCTGTGTCGATACCGTACCCGGTCCAGTGGTTGTCCGCGATCCAGGTTGGAATCGCAGCTATTGCGGCTTCAACGTCGGCGAAGCCCCAATTATGCCAGTCATCGCCGGACCACGGCGTGACACCTGTTGGGAACAGGACCCATGCACAGAGATCAGAAACGGGATCCAGAGCTCCAGTAACCTGGGCATTTTCCGCTTCAAGACCAGCTCCGTGCAGTTGCAGCAACAAAGGCAGCTTCGATTGTCCCAATGGACATGTTGCGTTCTTCGCCGGAGGCCGAAGCATAGCATAGGAAGCTATGCCGCCCGGGTGGAGATATGTGACCTTGTGAGGCCTGTAGAGATCGATATGATTCAGCTTTTGAGATACATGTAGGGTGTTCTGATGCGTTCCACCAACGGACTGGTACGTGATGTCGTATTCCAAGGATGAGGCGTTGTTGGTAGAGAGAGATGCTTTCAAGACGATGGGCCTCGTTTGACCAGAAACAATAGTGATGGGCATGCTCGGGTCTTCGTATGTGTTAGAGTCGTCCTGGTCAGCAATATCAGTATCTTCGCGTAACAATGACTGAGCGCCCGTTGTCCACCCGGCGAAAGAGACGTGCGAGCTCACATCTGAGGGCTGAATGCTCAGGACCTCGATATCCTCTTCCCCAGTGTTCCTCAAGTATACCGATCCAATCGACGAAGCAAGCTTTCCGTCGACCACATCAGACACTAGCATGCCAGGTTTCGCAAGTTCCAGAGACCCTGTGGCCTTTTGCACGTCAACGACAACATCAATGGTAGGCTCCAGAATGCCTCCAAAAGCCCTGACATCGCGAGCTAGGCGAAGATCGATTCTGTGTGAGCCAGGCTTGAGATGAAGAACAGGAGGTGCGTTGCGGTAGCTGTAATAGTCTCCTCCAAAGTAGTGCTGGTCATCCACCCAGTATTCCAGGATGGCGTCCGTATGCAAGATTAGATGTTGAGTCTCATTACCGCCGACGATGAGTTCGCCACGAGCCCAGGCCTGGTATTGAACAGCAGCCCACCCGTATACGACCTTGAGGAAGTCCCAATCAACGTTGGAGTAAGCCACGCTCAAGGAAGCGTTGGCTGATGTAGCATCGTTCAAAGTCCGTACGGCTTGGGTCACGTTCCATGACGCGGTCCCGTTAGTAGGCAATGAGCTTCGAAATGTCGCCTCAGGGTCATATTGGAGGTTTCTGAAGCCGCCGTAGTACTCGAGTGGATCGGCACCCCACGTGGCTTCTATATGATGTTGGCATGGTGTTTCCGCGTCACCACGGTCAATGACGTACCTCTTGTTCCAACCTGCCATGGCCCTAAGACGTGCCATGTGTCGTTGAAGGAAATCAAGGAGGCACTCTCCTGCCGGCTCACTAGGTGTAGTGGGGCTACGACCGGGCCATGTTCCGCAGCATGGCCCAATTGCAGGAGGAGGAAGATAGCACAGAATAAGTACGGCAGCGACGGCCGGTTCATCGGAACAGACATACTCGGGGTTGCACGAAGGCTCGACACATGATGAGGAGCGAAAGAGGTGGTTTTGAAAAGGAACGTCGTTATCGGTGCAGAAGATCTCTGCCCGACACAGCAGGTGCGGAATGCATGGTAGTTCCCGAAGTCATCAACGGAGCTTGGCCGACGAGGGCTGGTGATTTGCTATCCCTGTCGGCTGCACGACGCCCGGAACGCGTATGTCACTAACCAGACAATTCTCCGCTAATTACGGATCTATTGCGACGCTTGCCTTCAACACCACGCTTCGTGGAATAATCCTTCTCGACGATCCACGGTACCCCACCACCGCTACCGCTGATTGTGCCGCCCTCGTGCTCTTGCGTGTAGCAAAGGAGTGCGCCACTGTTCCGCGCATATAGCACCAAGTCGCCTGCAACATCGCTTCTCCCAACCCCCATGGCGTAACGAATAGTTCTACGACACCCCAACCTCCTTCCATCCCGCAGTCGCCATGACGCCTCCGTTGGCGCGGGACCCGAGTCCCAACGCTACCTTCAAGTTTCCCGCCTTCCAGCCCGATCTGCTCCCCACGCCCGAGGAAGACAACATCTACGGCCTCAGCTCGTCGCGGTCCGCCAGCCCCAGTCATGCAGCGCAGACAAATGGCAGCACGATACCAGGGGATAGGTGGCATCCGCGCAAAGAGGCTAGGTTCGGAGGCATGAATGGCTCCTCGTCGGGCTCTTCAAACAGGCACGGAAGACAGAAGAGCCTTTCCGAGGCCTTCAGGACCATACGGACGCGAAAGGGCAGTGTCAGCCAGAATGCGCATGAACTCGCCGATGCGCTCAAGGCACCGCTGTCGCCCAAGCTCATCGTACGTCGCGCCATGCACGTCTCTGCATGATTCATGGCTAACAGACGCAGGTGCTCTGCGGCGTGTGGTACATGACGTCCATCTTCACCAACATGTCCTCCAAGGCCATCCTGACCGCCCTACCGAAGCCCATCACCCTTACGACCGTACAATTCGCCTTCGTATCTGGCTGGTGCTTGATAATGGCCATGTTCGCTAGGAAATTTCCGCGGTTGAAGCAGACGATGCCTTTCCTCAAGTACGGCATTCGCAGCCCATCCAGGGAACTGATCATGGCTACGCTGCCCCTGACGCTCTTTCAGATTGGCGGACACATTCTCAGTGCCGATGCTACGTCGAGGATACCTGTGTCGCTGGTGCACACCATCAAGGGACTCTCCCCGCTCCTGACGGTCATGGCCTACAGCATCTTCTTCAAGATTCAATACTCGATCCCAACATACCTCTCCCTTATACCACTAACTCTGGGAGTCATACTGGCATGCTCGGCGGATTTCAACGCGAACCTGATCGGCCTGATGTCCGCATTTGCCAGCGCTATCCTCTTCGTCGTACAGAACATTGTCTCCAAACAGATTTTCAACGACGCCGCAGCCGCTGAGAAAGACGGTCTCCCACCCAACAAGTTCACCAAGCCAGACAAACTAAACCTCCTCTGCTACTCCTCCGGCCTAGCCTTCCTCTTCACGCTCCCACTCTGGCTCTGGTCCGAAGGATTCACCCTCATCTTCGACTTTCTGCACGACGCCTCCATTGAACTATCAGACCACCCTGAAGCTCTGGACCACGGGCGGCTGATTCTAGAATTCCTGTTCAACGGCACCTTCCATTTCGGGCAGAACATTGTAGCTTTCGTGCTACTATCCATGGTCTCACCAGTCACCTACTCCGTCGCCAGCCTGATCAAGCGCGTTTTCGTTATCGTCTTCGCAGTCGTCTGGTTCGGCAAGCCCATGACCAAAGTGCAAGCCTTCGGCTTCGTCCTCACATTCGTGGGTCTATATCTCTATGACCGCACGCACGATGCCGCCAAAGCAGATAAACGCGCAAAGGCCCTACAGTCCAAGAACAGCGGCTCATTGCTTCCCTTGGCGACAGACGTCAAGTCGCGACCTGTTTTCACGGCTAGTCCGTCGTCCATGCAGGATCCAGGGACGTACTCCATGCCGGGTATCCACGAGTCACGAGATGAGAAAAGACATGATGATTCGGGCAGTTCGAGCTATCGCAGGACTTCTGAGCAGGGCTCGCAGTACTTGCCTCCTGGGACGAAGGCGGAGGATACTTGGCGGCCTAATGACATGAATGGCAGAAGGGGGATAGGCGTTTCATGAGCATTTACGAATCTATTTGTTGTTTTTAGATGAACTCTTGGGTCGAGATCCGAGTGATGTTTTGTCTTGGTGAGTGGCCCGGAAGAGATGCTCGGTACGGTGATGGAGATGCGCAAAGGACCGATCTACGTGCCGAGTGTTACTGGTCAGTGGTCAAGTGCTCGATTTGCCGAAACGACCGACAGAAGATACTAAGCCGTGGATCTACTTCGTCACATGTGACACAACGGCCGCTCCAGGAGTCTGCTGACGCGTCAGCCCACCGTGACATTCCGATTGTACAATTAACGACCATGGTGGCTACGCGAGATAATCTGAACATGAGCTGATATTGCAATCACGCCATACATACAGCCACTATTCGCATTATCGCCTCCAGTCCCGAACCGAACAAAAGAGATGCTTCTCGCAGCATGCAAAACCAAGCAGAGACCCCGACACCTGTAGCCGAACAGACACAAAGCAGACGTAAAGTGAGCGACTTCCTGGACGCCGAGTTTGGGCATTTGCATCATCTCATGTTGTTTCCCGCGCGTTAAACGTAAGGCACATTTGTATCGTAGTCCTGCTCGCTATATCCGAGCTTTCTCCCTTCGCTGCTCCCGCCAAAAACATGCGTTGTAACCCGGCGCAACCAGTTTGTAGGTGAAGGGTATTTGTGGATTTCGTCGTCGTCTAGCAGCATCCCTTCTTCTGCTCCGCGTCGGCCGACTTGCTGATCTCGAGCACCTTGCGGTCGTTGCCGAGGACTGGGCCGCTGCCTTCGCCTTGGTCGAGGGCTTTGCTTGAGACGATGCGGTAGATTTCTGGGTAGTGTTAGCAGCAGTTCGTACTGGTGACTCAACGTAGAGGGCACGACGAAAGTGGCGGTGTAAGCACATGTCTATCCGGGCTATAGACTGTGACGCCAAACTTTGCGCCGACCACTGCATTTACTGCGGGGTACTGTTTGGTGAGACGGGCGTACCTGTGAGAATGTTCTGGAAAGCAAGCTCGACGTTGCTGGCGTCCAAGGCGGACGTCTCGATGAAGGAGAGGTTGTTGTCACCTGGAAAGTGTCAGCTTACGTCGTCTCTGAGTGACTATCTGGACAACTGCCAGTGTCATAGAGTGAGACACGTACTCGCAAACTGCTTGGCCTCCTCTGTTGGCACTGCCCGCAGATGCCTCAAATCGCTCTTGTTACCGACGAGCATGATGACGATATTGGAGTCGGCATGGTCGCGCAGCTCCTTCAGCCACCTCGTCACGTTCTCGTATGTCTGGTGCTTGCTGATGTCGTAGACAAGCAGAGCGCCGACAGCGCCACGGTAGTATGCGGAGGTGATGGCGCGGTACCGCTCCTGGCCTGCGGTATCCCAGATCTGGGCCTTGATGGTCTTTGCGTCGACTTGGATGGAGCGGGTAGCGAACTCGACGCCGATGGTCGACTTGGAGTCGAGGTTGAACTCGTTGCGCGTGAATCGACTCAACAGGTTGGATTTACCGACACCTGAGTCTCCGATGAGCACCACTGCGGGGGTTAGCGGGCGACGAGACCAGGACGAGTAAGGCGGGGGGAGAGGCGGTACCCTTGAAGAGGAACTACAGGCACGACAGTCAGTATGCAGAGCCCACAGCTGCTGGCGTACGGGGACTCACGTCATATTCGTCGTTCGCCATTGTTGCGGTAGGCAGGTGGGGAAGAGTGGCAGGTGGGCGGCGGGTGCACGTCTCAGTCGCTAATTCGGCGAGGTTCTCGGGAGCAGGGCCTGGATAGCGTTGGGGTATCAGGGCAAGCAGAAAGGCAAAGTCCGGTCGTCGTGGCGGTGGTAGTGTCCAGGTGCGCTATCTCGCTGCCTCGAGGAGTCGCTGCTCCACCAACAAAGCACCAGCCAGCACTCAGGGCGAACGAGCCCATGCCGCATTAGGTAAGCGAGACGCTACTCTCCGCGTCCTCACCTGCACCCTCACGCCCGTGGTTGCTTGCACCACCGCAAACAAGTCGCCTTTCGCCAAATAGCGGCAATCACTCAGTCTCTTCTTATCGCGTGTTGAGCGAGCACAGTGATCGGCCGCGTATCGGAAAATTCGACTTGCGCGTTGTATCAGCATTATCCCGCTGCTCTCAACCAATCAGGACCTTGCATCCTCATTCATCTCTACGGCTTTCGCCAGAATGTCATCACGCCCTGTCGAAGACGATGAGCAAGTGGCGGGTACTTTTGACGTGGAATGTATCATAGCAGAAAAGTGGCAAAATGAATGGGACGTCGCGCCCTTCGGGAAGGGAATAAAGTACTTGACCAAGTGGGAGGGCTATCCACTTTCCGAGTAAGTCTATGCTGAATGATCGTTGAGCCCAGCTAACCCGCTATGAAGCAGTAAGCATCTAATCCTGTCTTTCGCAGTTCTTTGGTATTGCCTGGGACACTACCCCGACCTATACTCTCCAAGCGTTCCACAAGGTTGAACATTCATCGCATCTTCCTAACGTTATGTAGGTACTTGGGAACCAGCATCAAATTTTGAAAATGTTAATGATGATGATCCAACGGACCCCGAACCTGCCCCAGGACCCCCAGCTCCCACCGCTCTGGAACTATGGAACCTGAAGAAATCGAAAATGAGCGGGATTGAATTCCGGAAGCTATGCGACCAAAACATAAGCAGATTCGAGGCAGCAGTTCGAGCAGCGGCAGATGAAGGTGTGCCGCCCCTCGAAGTTACACTGGCAGAAAGAGAAGCTGTAGACTCCAGTCAACTCAACAACTTGTTCATCGAAAGTCCCAGAAGACAACCTCCAAGAGCGCGCAAGCCTCCTGTAGTGCAGTCAGACTCATCTTTGTCTTCTTCTGAGGAAGCAGAGTTGACGGATGACTCCTTATTCGATGAGATCACGATGACCTCAAAGAAGACAAAGCACAAGTCAACTAGTGCAGATGGCGCTGGTACTGAGCGCCGGCCACGTCGAAAGTCAGCTCAGTCAGCCAGTGAAGCACTGAAACGTGCTACAACCACTCCAAAGCGGAAGTCAGCTACTAAGCCGAGCCCAGCTAAGCCTTCGCCATCGGAATCAATTCCACATTCTCGAACCGGACATGTCGGCCCGGTCCCCACCCAACGGAGGGCGAGTACCACCAGTGAGCTTGCAAGCGCCGCTACAGGTTCTGCCAATATAACTCCGGCCGGCGCAAATCCCGGTACTGCGAAGAGATCAGTCTCATTTACTACGCAGGTCAGTCCTAGTAATATCACATCCGATACAGGAAAGAATGGCGCCATCAAGTTCACGAACCAACCGAAACCTCCGCCTCGCCAGATCTCTGAATTGAACAAGACCCATTTCCGCAACCTTAAAGGACGAGGGGCGGCGAATAAGAAGTCTGCCAGGGAGGGTACACCTGATCCTTCGGCTCTACAGATTGTCAACGCCCCACCCGGTACCACTATCTCGCTCCCGCGCGCACCACGCGATGATCTATACGGTCGTCGTGAGCCTAGCCATAGGCGACCCACAGAAGACTCCAACAGCGACGTTCGCCCAAGCCGACAGTCTACTGACGGTAACCTACCGTTGGAAGACTGGGAATCCCACAAAGTCCCATTAGTATGCTATTCTTGGAGGCTTAGCAACGATTGCCCGAGAGGTCCGAAAGAATGTCGCTTCATGCATAGAAATAAGGATGAAAACGGCCGTGACTATCCCTTGGGGGATATGCAAGGGTTCATACCTGGTAAATATCGCAGGCCACCACTCACCTGTCCCTATTGGCTGAACTCTGAACGGGGCTGCATAAAGTCTGCCGAACAGTGTAATTACGCTCACTACAACACTGGGTGGATGAAGCACACTGATCCTAAAGTTCCCGATGTGCGAATTGATCCTGAGAAGCGGCCGGAGTTCAATGGTGGAGAAAGTCAGTCTGGAGAAAAGTTCACCAAGAAAGCGTTGGCACCGAACCAACTTACGTGCTGGTACTGGAAAAACACTCAATGTCGTAAGTCCGACCAGGATTGTGCCTTCCAACATTATGATACTGGTATCGTCGCGGATGGGCCACATGATTCTCGTCAGAAGCCTGTTCGACCGGCGGATGGGTCTGATGAATCTGATGCGTCTGTCCATATGGACATCGATGATGTTGCTCAGCCGGACGTTGCCGATGAAGTAACACGCTCCCCTTCTCCCATGCCACTCGAACAACCGCAACAACCGTTCCAGCCGCCACCTCCTCCACCTCCACCCATGGAATTCCCTCCTGTCGATATCAGATGCACAGAGCTGCAAGAGAGAATAAGCGCAGTCAGCAAGCTCGACTTCGAAGACATGTTTGCGACCAACGATGGTGAAACAACCATCGATCCGGTAGAAAGGAGGGCTTTCTTATTCTTTCACCCTGAAGATCACTTTGTGGAGTTTGAAATCATCACTCGATGGCTCTTGATGCATCATGTCCAAGTCAGCAGTGCGAGCTATGCAGGCGGATGGGCAGATTTCCAGCAACAAATCCTGAAAGGAGGCACGGGTATTATCATCGTACGTATCACACACTCCGTGGACCAAACGAATACTAAGCAGACTAGACACATCCCGACTTTGAATACTTCACAAATATCCCCGGATTCGGCCAAGTCCTCCGTAGAGGAGTGCGTCTCTGGTCGGTCGGGCTTCAACCAGGTATCGAATACGACTATGCTTCAGACGAGACACCTGTGCTCCGGAATAATCGCATTGAGATATTTCCTGTTGGTGGATTCATCTACATCACGGACGAAGTCTTCGAAGCGATGCCAAAATATGCGCTGTGTATCATCAAGCTCTTCTTGGCGAAAATCAAGAAGCTCAAGGAACTCGCAGGTCCAACAGCTCAGCTGCCAGAGATCGTCGAGAATAGCTTGCTCTGGCGTCTATGCGTCCGTCCGGAACTGATGGAACATCTGTTTGCCTACTGTGAAGATCAAGCAACAGAGCTCCAAGCTGGGGATCCTGATGTACAGAGGTTTGTCTACTACACTTG